CTGTGGGGGCGGGAAGACACAGGTTCCTTTGAGGACTCTTCCAGAACGTTCCCGTCCTCCTCCTCAAAGAAATGTATTAGGGAGGGCATTAGGCTACTCACGACAAATTATATAATTATATATTCACGCCCCTAGTCTCCTCCCCCTTGCCCATTAGAGCCTAAACGATGATGGGTATCAGGGTGGTGGTGGGGAGCCTTGACCACCAGGCCACTCACAGCCCAGCGGCTTAGGCTTTATTGACCAACAAGGAGTAGTTTTGCATAAAGTAACGTGCAAGGGGTGTGAGTGTGTGTGTTTGAGTGTGTGTGTGTGTGTGTGTGTTTAAGTGTGTGTGTTTGAGTGTGTGTGTTTAAGTGTGTGTATTCACCTAGTTGTGCTTGCAGGGGTCGAGCTCTGGCTCTTTGGTCCCGCCTTTCAACTGTCAATCAACAGGTGTGCAGATTCCTGAGCCTACTGGGCTCTTATCATATCTACACTTGAAACTGTGTATGGAGTCAGCCTCCACCACATCTTAATGCATTCCATTTGTCAACTACTGACACTAAATTTTTGTCAAATGTCTTTATGGCTCATTTGGGCACTCAATTTCAACCTGTGTCCCCAAGTGCAAGTACCCCTTAAGTTAGTCTGTCTTTATCTACCCTATCATTTTCTTTGAAAATCTTGTATGTGGAGATCATGTCCCCCACTTAACTCTTCTATCTTCCAGTGACGTGAGGTTTAATTCCCGTAGTCTCTCCTCGTAGCTCATACCTCTCAGCTCGGGTACTAGTCTGGTGGCAAACCTTTGAACCTTTTCCAGTTCAGTCTTATACTGGACTAGATATGAATTCTATGCTGGAGCCGCATACTCCAGGATTGGTCTGACATATGTGGCATACAAAGTTTGAATGATTTCTTACACAAGTTTCTAAAGACCGTTCTTATGTTAGTCAACTTGGCATGTACCGCTGATGTTATCGTATTGATATGGGCTTCAGGGGACAGGTCTGACGTGATATCAACCCCCAGGTCTTTCTAACTGATTCTTGAAGAATTTCATCTCCTAAATGATACCTTGTATCTGGTCTCCTCCTTCCTACACCTATCTTCATTACATTACATTTGCTTGGGTTAAACTCTAACAACCATTTGTTCGACCATTCCTGCAGCTTGTCCAGGTCTTCTTGAAGCCTCAACCTGTCCTCCTCTGTCTTAATCCTTCTCATAATTTAGGCATCATCAGCAAACATTGAGAGGAATGAGTCTATACCCTCTGGGAGATCATTTACGTATATCAGAAACATGATAGGAACGAGTATTGTACTTCCACATCTACATGTAGTGAACTTCCTCAGTTTCCATCACCCCCCCCACACACACACACCCCTCAGCAAGTGACGTCATCGATTTCCCATCAAGTAAAGACAGCTGCCAACCGGATCACGTCTCCCAGGCACAGTCCTCCCAGGCACAGCCCTCCCGGACACAGCCCTCCCGGACACAGCCCTCCCGGACACAGCCCTCCCGGACACAGCCCTCCCGGACACAGCCCTCCCGGACACAGCCCTCCCGGACACAGCCCTCCCGGACACAGCCCTCCCGGACACAGCCCTCCCGGACACAGCCCTCCCGGGCACAGCCCTCCCGGACACAGCCCTCCCAGACACAGCCCTCCCAGACACAGCCCTCCCAATGACAAACATCTCTAACCATGTCCATGGAGGACAGAAGAAAATGTATATATGCTGGTTAGCATTGTAAATGTGTGGCCACGTCTGTGGCAGAAAATAATAATAAAAACAAAAATAAAAACCTGACACACCAGCTCATGCTCCCACCCTTACTCCCACAGTAACATTTTATTAGTCAATGGAACTAACCTGCCGACGAATCTCCCACCAACCTCCCATGCACTCTAACACCATCTACCCAGTCTATAGCAGTCTATCATCTTCCACATCATAATAAAGGGAAAGAAGGGCTTCGGAAGGCTTGTGGGACCCATGAGAAACGACTCCTATCTATTTCCACCCAAACTCGTTCAAACACGTGTCTAACCTACGCTTGAAACACTCCACCGATCCCGCGTCTATTAAGTTACGCGGCAAATGATTCCATACAATGGACAATTATGTTTTCAAACCAGTATTTAAAGTCTTTCCTGAATCTAAACTTATGCCATTTATATCCGTTGTTTCGTGTTCTGTTTGGCGTTATGTTTACCATATTAATACATACTTTACTGTGCTCTTTGAGCCGTGTGTATACTTTATTGACGTCTCTTTCATAGAATTAACAGTATAGATACTTTCCCAGCACAGTAATACTCTATAGAGGGAGGGAAGGAAGGGTAAAGGGAGGGTAAACGGCGGGAGGGAGGGAAGGGTGAATGAAGGAAGGAAGAGAAGGAATGAAGGGAAGGAAGCAGGAGTGGCGCCACTCCACAGAGTGGCGTTAAGCAGCAAAATAATGACTCCAGAGCCAGGAGACAACAGCTCTGGCTGGCCGCTGTTTATCTCTTAATATACGCGCAGTATACACTACCGGCGCCACTCTGCCCGTCATGGTAGACACCCAGAATGTCCCCGTCTTAAACTGGCACTAAGCCACACCCTACCCTGAGAGGCACTAAGCCACGCCCTACCATGAGAGGCACTAAGCCACTCCCTACCATGAGAGGCACTAAGCCACACCCTACCATGAGAGGCACTAAGCCACACCCTACCATGAGAGGCACTAAGCCACACCCTGCCATAAGAGGCACTAAGCCAGACCCTACCATGAGAGGCACTAAGCCACACCCTACCATGAGAGGCACTAAGCCACTCCCTACCATGAGAGGCACTAAGCCACACCCTGCCATAAGAGGCACTAAGCCACTCCCTACCATGAGAGGCACTAAGCCACTCCCTACCATGAGAGGCACTAAGCCACACCCTGCCATAAGAGGCACTAAGCCACTCCCTACCATGAGAGGCACTAAGCCACACCCTGCCATAAGAGGCACTAAGCCACTCCCTACCATGAGAGGCACTAAGCCAGACCCTACCATGAGAGGCACTAAGCCACACCCTACCATGAGAGGCACTAAGCCACTCCCTACCATGAGAGGCACTAAGCCACACCCTGCCATAAGAGGCACTAAGCCACTCCCTACCATGAGAGGCACTAAGCCACTCCCTACCATGAGAGGCACTAAGCCAGATGTGCGGGCTTAGACACATCATAAACTAGGGTTAACATTCTATTAGAAATTGATATATAAAGAGAGATTCCGCAGGCGACGCTGTTTTTTATGTAAGATTTCGTCAGGCCCCCCAACCACTTAAGTAAATTACCACAAAAAAGGTTTGCTGATAAAGTGGACATGTGGGGGGGGGGGCAGAGGGGGGGAGTCTTGATAATGGGCGGGTGTGAGAATTGTAAATCAAATCAACTTGATTAATCAGGGCTACTGTTCTACCTCATAAGAATAGTTTAGATCACAACTTGACGAAGGCAAGCCACCTTGAGGTTACCTTGAGGTGCTTCCGGGGCTTAGCGTCCCCGCGGCCCGGTCGTCGACCAGGCCTCCTGGTTGCTGGACTGATCAACCAGGCTGTTGGACGCGGCTGCTCGCAGCCTGACGTATGAGTCACAGCCTGGTTGATCAGGTATCCTTTGGAGGCGAGTGCCACAGCATACGATTTTGTATAATTATATATATATATATATATATATATATATATATATATATATATATATATATTGGTAGTTTTTCTTGTAAACATAAGTTGTTAAATATGACCGAAAGGGTAAGATTAATGATTCTAACACGAATCTCCTCAATATTTCTTATGTTTTTCTTTACTGTCGAGGGAAGTTGAAAAATTAGCTCTCCAAAGTTCATTTTCACTTTTTATTTAGGTCTGACGCCTAGAGATGGGTTTCGCAAGGTCACTCCTTACAGTCTCAAAGACTAATTTACCATGCTGTAGTTTAAGATTCAGCAACTCTGAACAAAAAGTTGCTAGTATCACGTTCTACGGTGAGACCGTAGTGGACTTACCTGGCACACGAGTGGGGCTGTAACTGAATGTGGATTTACCATGCTGTTGTTGTTTCAGATTTAGCTACTCAGAATGAAATGTCAATTACGGGCTATAGTGAGCCCGTAATTGAGTTCGGTTATTCGCAATAACCTTGTTACTGTGGTATTTGGGTCAAAGACAAATTTACCATGTTTTTGCAAAGGTTTATATTCTCTTTGGGTGAGGTGGTACATAACAAGTGGATGAATGGCATAACACAAGAGATATTAATAAGGTATTACATCAAAATAAGACGCTTAAATTCTTGCGGATCCTTGTCTCTGTGTTGGCTCGGGGTCTTGAAGCGGGTAGAATGTATTTGTGTGTTAACTGGCTGTTGACTGCTGGTCTTGACTTTTTTGTGTAGTGCCTCGCTGATGTCTTTTGTTGGCGTTATAATTGTCGATTATTTCAGTGTTGCTTGTTAAGATGTCTCTGGTGATGGTCTGGTTGTGTGAGGAGATTATATGTTCCTTGACGGAACCCTGTTGTTTGTGTATTGTTAATCGCCTAGAGAGACGTTGTCGTCTTGCCTATATACTGAGATCTTTGGGGCTGACAGTCCTCAGGTGGGCATGTGAAGGCATAGACGACGTTGGTGTCTTAAGGCGTTGTGTTTGGTGTAACCAAACGACATAGACCAACGTCATGTCATAATCTACAAGGCCACAATTAATAACACAGTTAACTTGTGTTTGACAAAAACGTTGATGGTGCTAGTGGTGGTGGTGGTAGTGCTACTGGTATTGGTGCTAGTGGTGGTGGTGGTGGTAGTGCTACTGGTATTGGTGCTAGTGGTGGTGGTGGTGGTAGTGCTACTGGTATTGGTGCTAGTGGTGGTGGTGGTGGTAGTGCTACTGGTATTGGTGGTAGTGGTGGTGGTGGTGCTACTGGTAGTGGTGGTGGTGCCTGGTGGGAGGGAGTGCCCGCCCTCACCCGGGGTTA